TTCATATACACAAGTAACCTAAGTTTGGTTTGATGAGATCAGCAAATGACCCAACTTTCTTTTAATGACTTAAACTCGAGCCATTCTTTTCTACATTTGATTGACCTAAGTTTGTTCTGACAGGCTATATATGGCAGATTTGGGCTACTGAATACACAAAGAACTAATCTAATTTTGTGATTATTGAACTACAGCTGACCTATTATTTACTAAATCATTACATGACCCAAGTTTGATCTATTGAAGTACAATTGAACAAATCTATATATTATTGAATTCCAAGTGATCTAACTTCAGGCTATGGAATATAAGCACATATATTGTCTACTGAATATTTTCAACAGTTGACCTTACCTTGGCCTACTTTACACATTACAAAGTTAACCCAACACTGTTTAGTAGAATTCCACCTTATACATCTTTGCTCTACTGAACAACCTCGTTCATTGTTCAGTGTAAAACGCTTGGGAGTTGAGGATGTGTAAACTTTCTATATCCATACTTACACTGAGGGTATGTGATGAAGGATACCTCGTACCATTTATCAGGATAAGCGTCTCCTCTTGAGAATGGAATATCTATTTACTAGGTTAATGTACAAGAATTTCAGGAAAAGATGACATCCTTCGAAATGTGACTCTGAGGATGTTTAAATGGAAACTGTCAAGGCTAAATTGAAATACATTTTTTTGTACATTATTCGATGGCAACGTGCCAATGACTTAGATATTTTCCTCCTCAGGCTTTGGAGTATTCTGTTTAGTCGAATCTCTCTTTTTATAATCAGTCGACCCTGAATACTTATCTTCACGTTATTTAGCATTTTTATTAAAATTTGTTGCCTCCAACACCACTCTACCATCATTATTATTCTTATCAAAACTAACTTCGTAAATCGTAATACTCCAAAATCTGGGTGAGTTGCCAGTTCTTCCTTTTATGTAATCAGAGTCTTGGGGATTAGCAGTACGATTTCTGCTGGTTCTTACAGACGTTTTCGAAATCTGATCAACACCATGTCAGGCAAACGTATTTCTCCATCTGCTGTACTGATGCAAGGCTGATATTTCTATGCTATACACGGACTCACATCCGTTGGTTTTAATTCATTTCATTAATAGGATAATGACCTTGTATTACCTACGCCAAGGAGGTTATGGTTAGTTTGTTCGTTGGTTAGCAGGATAACTCAAATAGTTGTGATCAGATTTCTATTAATATTTTACCAGATGTGTCTTAGCTAAGCTGTCATTCAATATTATTGGTGATCCGGATCCAGGATTTTTTTTTAAGGGTTCATTAACATTGTGAGATAGGACAGCGCGGACGTCACTGCTGTCCTTGTGAAAGAGATGATTTTAACGTAATTCTTCAAGTTTGAATATTTCTATTGTGTCAGTGCTTCTAATCATTAAACACACATACACACATACATACACATACACACATACATACACACATACATACACATACACACATACATACACACACACACACAATTAATTCATTTTTACATACAACCCGACTGTAGTCCAATGACCTGCAGTTGACTCATTTATGACTCAGATTTTAATCATTATATTAATTGGTTCTCAGGAACACCCATGTATTTACACGAATTTCATATCAATAATACTTTTGATTTTCTGCTTTATTATCTATATTTATTATTTTTTGATAACAATAACAATAAATAAAACACTGGGGGTTTCATATGGGAATTTTATTATATCATGTTACATAATATTGAAGAAATATCACATTGGCAGCGTGAGCAAAATAAAATACCGGTAAAATTAAGCTGCTATGATTGTGAACTGGAATTCCTCGATTAATGATTAACGTAACGATAAAGTGTTCTCTTCATAAATCAGATAAGTGAACTAGTATGTCCTCGTAGGAGCAGGTTACGTTTTATTTGCATCTGAAGTCACTGAAGTCTTGTATTCTTATGATGCAACGTCCGTTTTCTTTGTATCTGAAGTCACTGAAATCTTGTAAACTAATTGAAGCAAGGTATGATTTATATACTTTTGAAGTCACTGAAGTCTCGTTTCCTAATGAAGCAAGGTACGTTTTCTTTGTATCTGAAGTCACTGAAGTCTTGTATACTAATGATGCAAGGTACGGTTTATTGAAGTCACTGAAGTCTCGTTTCTAAATGAAGCAAGGTACGTTTTCTATGCATCTGAAGTCTCTGAAATCTTGTACCCTCGTGAGTCACTGAAGTCTCGTTTCCAAATGAAGTAAGGTACGTTTTCTTTGTATCTGAAGTCACTGAAGTCTCGTTTCCTAATGAAGTAAGGTACGTTTTCTTTGTATCTGAAGTCACTGAAGTCTCGTTTCCAAATGAAGCAAGGTACGTTTTCTTTGTATCTGAAGTCACTGAAGTCTTGTATACTAATGATGCAAGGTACGTTTATTGTAGTCACTGAAGTCTCGTTTCAAATGAAGCAGGGTACATTTTCTATGCATCTGAAGTCACTGAAATATTGTAAATCAAGGTATGTTTTTCTTTACACCTGAAGTCACTGGTCGTTTATCCTAATGAAGCAAGGTACGTTTTCTATGCATCTGAAGTCACTGAAATCTTGTATCCTCGTGAATCAAGGTATGTTTTCTTTACACCTGAAGTCACTGGTCGTTTATCCTAATGAAGCAAGGTACGTTTTCTATGCATCTGAAGTCACTGAAATCATCTCGTTTACAAGTCACTGGTCGTTTATCCTAATGAAGCAAAATGCATCTGAAGTCGCTGAAGTCTTGTATCCTCGTGAAGCAGGGTACGTTTTCTATGCATCTGAAGTCATATCCTGGATTCAAGGGCTCACTGCTGTAGATTCTTCACCGTCGTCGTCCTCAAAGACTGCAAAGAACATGTGTATTAAAGAACGTGAACATTAAAGAACATGAACATTGGAATCATAACAGGAGTATTATATATTCACTTCATTGTAACTTTTATTAAGTGTGTTCTACTAGCTACTATTTAATCATAAATACAAATAGCATTATTTTTAAAAAATAACTTTCTTCCTGCATTTAAGTTGTCAGTGGACGCTGCTGCGTATATAGTTTCTCGTTATATTTCTATAGTTCTAATGTTGAAAAGTGTGCGTGAGTTTGTTTGAGTGAGTGAGAGAGAGTGTGAGTGTGAGAGAGAGTGTGAGTGTGAGTGTGAGTGTGAGTGTGAGTGTGAGTGTGAGTGTGTGTGTGTGTGTGTGTGTGTGTGTGTGTGTGTGTGTGTGTGTGTGTGTGTGTGTGCGTGTGTGTGCGTGTGCTGTGTGTGTATGTGTGTGTGTATGTGTGTGTGTATGTGTGTGTGTATGTGTGGTGTGTGTGTGTGTGTGTGTGTGTGTGTGTGTGTGTGTGTGTGTGTGTGTGGTGTGTGTGTGTGTGTGTTGTGTGTCTGTGTGTGTATTTGTATGTATGCACATGTATCTACACGTTCGATTACACGCATGCAAGCACACGCACGTTTCGTCATGAGTGCACGCAATCGAACACGCTCATAACCCAAGACAGGCGAACTGACTCACCAACGAGCGACTCACCTGTGGACTCACCAACGAGCGACTCACCTGTGGACTCACCAACGAGCGACTCACGAGCGACTCACCGACTCACCACGAGCCTGTGGACTCGTGCGGCTCGGCCCCTGGATGCCGATCTCCCATCCGGTGCCCGTCTGGTTCCGCCGCCCGTCATAGCGCATCGCCATCCGGTTGCTGGGCGCCAAGTGCCCTGCGATGCTCGTTTCCTGGAATGAGGGCGGCGAGCAGCGTTTGATAAGATATTGCAGTTAAATACACAGACAAAGAATTGTGCTTATATATATGTATGCATATATGTATATATATAATATATATATGTGCATCTCTATCTCTAAAACCACACACACACACACACACACACACACACACGCAACACACACACCACACTTCACGCAACACACACACACACACACGCACACACACACCACACACACACACACACACACACAACACACACACAACACACACACACACACACACACACACAACACACACACACACAAAAATATATTGTACTATACTTACGTCTCCACACAAGGTGTTGAAGAGCACTGGGCTGCCATCGGCGTTGACATCATACAATTCCAGGTATGTGCTGTTACACTGACCGGGGCCGCCGAAGTTGACTGGGTTTAAATAAAATAAAAAATGTAATGTCAGTAGAAGTTGACTGGGTTTAAATAAAATAAAAAATGTTATATCAGTGGAAGTTGACTGGGATTAAATAATCTTTTTATATATCAGTAGAAGTTGACTGGGATTGAATATCAGAAAAAAATCTAGAGGAGTTGACTGGGATGAATATCAGAAAAAAAATATTAGCAGGAGTTGCCTGGGATTGGATATCAGAAAAAAATATTAGCAGTTGACAGGGATTGAATATAAAAAAAAAATCAGAAGGAATCTACTGGGATAGAATATGAAAAAGAAAGAAAAAAATGACAGTAGGAGTTGACTGGGATTGAATATCAGATTTTTTTTTTTTTAATCAGCAGGAATCGGGTTTCATTAATAAATAAATAAATGACTGAATGCATATATCTATCTCTACCTATCTACTCATGCATGCATCCGTCCATTTACCTTTATCGTTTCACCTATCCGTCCATCCAGCTATCTACCCATCTATCTCTCTAAAAATCTACCAATTCGTCTATCTACCTATCTAATTATCGAATCATTTATCTCCTTCATCCACCCACCACCAACATCTATCCACCTCTCCATCCACCAACACACCCACCAATCCATCTATCCACCCCCACAATCCATCTATCCACCCCACCTCAATCCATCTATCCATCCACTAACCACCTATCCATCTATCCATCCACTAACCCACCAATCCACCTCTCCATCCATTACCACACATTATCCATCTACAACCACCATTAATTATCTAACACCACCAATCCATCTATCCATCCACCAACCACCACAATCCAT